GCCTGAACGACAACAAAAGGCAAAAATGCCTTGGCACGGAACGTGTTAATTACGAGAGACGCGAAACTCACTGTCAAAGTCGCCCTCTGGCCTGAGATTATCCTGCGGTCTTCTGACGGCAGCTCGATCCCCATATTTCGGCGCTTGCTCCTTCGGTCGCCCGATGAACTCGCCTTCTGGCTTCAAGTTATCCTGCGGTTTCCTCACCGTTGGCCTCTCGCCTCTCGACGCCGCGTAGTCTGTCCTTCTCTCGCCGATGAACTCTCCTTCCATCCGAAGGTGGTCCTCGTGATGGTACACCGTCTGCCTGTCCACGCGTTTCTCGTCGAATTCCTCGCGATACGAGGTCACCGCGTGCACCGGCTCGTCTCGTGGGATCTCGAGGTGGTCTTGCGGCAGGTTGTGGGGACAACGATGTCGTCTGGACGAGAGGAAATTTTTCGGAAATCCGAAAAAAAGAGGTCGAACGAGTTGCATGCACGATTAATTTGCAATGAAGAAACGGTATCCAATTTCATTGAACTGTTTTTTTTTTTTTTTTTTGTCGGATCAGGATTCGTCAAGAAACGAATTTTTTTTTTTCCTTTTCTTTTAAGATGTTCCGTGACAAGAAGAGAAGAAATCGATCGTCTTTAATTGACCCGTCAAACTCAAGTCTCAACCTAATGTATACGGGCAATCTCACGTCACTGAAGGGGGAATCCTAATTGAACATCGAGCCTGATTTCAGCGCGGCTCGCGAATATTCATGCACGTCAGCCGCGGTAGATTACCAGCGTTGGCCCATTGATAAACTGACTGGCGGTATTACAGCCGCGGACGTCACCATAGTCACGCACGTGATCATTGTCGTACTAGCACGAGTTGCATGTCCCTCGTTCACGATCGCTTCGTTAGATTCCATGCACATCGTACGTCGGCCTAAGTAATTGAAATACTTGCTTCGAAGCGGTACACGGTTCCTCTTCCTATCATATTACTCGTTCGTCACCGATCGTCTCGGGGGAAGAAATGCAGATCTCTCTGTCTCCACTCAGTCAGACTTGTACTTATACAGGCTGGCCCATTTAAATATCTTATCGAATTGCGACGATGCAAAAAATATTTTTCGCCTGACACGAATGGTAAATAAATTCCAAAAGGTCAACAATTGGTAAGAATTTTTTTTTTTTCTTTCAAGGACTTTTCAAGGTCATTGATGGTTTTTTTCATATAATTATATATATTCTTTTTTTATCGTATCGTGGAGCTGGTGAAAAAAGAATACGTTCAGATGTGTAAAGAAAAAAAATATTCTTACCAGTTATTGGCCTTTCGGATGCCATTCATGTTCGGCAAAAAATATTTTTCGCTCTGGCGAATGACAAACTACAGTATTGACACACTTTCATGAAAACAAGTATATTTCAGTGAATAGTTTACCACGTAGAAAAGTAATACGGTAACAATGTCCAACAACGAGTTGTACAATAATAATACAAGAGATATGAAAATTCATGTGAGTCAAGAAAGTTAATTTAGTCTCGGAATGCTACTAGAAAAATTACGAAACATCCTTCCGTGAGTACTAGATTATTAGGAAAGAACGCTTCTCTTTAAACTATTGAAAATATTTTATATTTCTTCTCAAATGTGTGGCACAACTCCTTGTATTATGTTAACATCTTCTTGATTTTTGAATTTTTGTATCACTGGTATTGTTAGAAATCATCAAATATATTTTATATTCTGTTTAAATACAAGACAGAGGTGCAAAAAAAAAAAAAATTCCTCAACATCTGTTTGATTCTGGGATTTTTACACTACTCCTTGTATTATGTTAACATCTTCTTGATTTTTGAATTTTTGTATCACTGGTATTGTTAGAAATCATCAAATATATTTTATATTCTGTTTAAATACAAGACAGAGGTGCAAAAAAAAAAAGAAAAATTCCTCAACATCTGTTTGATTCTCGGATTTTTACACTACTTGTATTATCATTGCGTAACTCACATCATTGAAGACCATTAAAAATATTTCACGATACAGTTGCTCATGTCAATATCATTTTGATTCTCGAACTTTTACATAACTTGTGTTACTGTTTCACAACTCGTGAAATTGGAAATTGCTGTGAACTATTCATGGAAACAGATTTTTGTTAATATTCTCTCGTAAAAATATCCCAAGAAAACTAAACGTGTCAGTCACTTTCTTTCTTTTTTTTTTTTTTTTCATCCGCTATGGAAATATCAGCCTTAACAGACTATTTTCTAATCTGTCTCGTTTGCGACACGCGTGTTTGTTCGATATCAATATTCGATTAGTAATTAATTGCATTCCGTTCGTACTAATCATTGCAACGAGAAGCAGAATCGGTTTGGTTCAACGTCCACAGTTGGATTTCCTAACCGCGAGAGACATTTATGGAGCACGATATCTTTATCCGTAATATTCGTAGTATCATTTCGAGAGGTGGGGATAGCTCAGTCGATAAAGCATCAGACTCTTGATCTGAGGGTTCCAGAGATGTTCGAAAAAAAAAAAAGACATTGTCCTTTAGGACAACAGCACGGGAGAGCTCTGTGTGTATAAAATGTCCCCGAGCTCTCCGAACATGCGGAGGACGGCCATTATGGAGGTTTTAGTCGGTAAGAATCCCCGAAGACACACTACCTGGGTCTAAAAAGAACTCAGGTGTCTTATGAAGATTTCCTCCACGTAAAAGAAAAAAAGTATCATTTCGAAATATTTACAACAGCACATGTGTCGAGATGTTAAAATACATTAAGAACAATCGACTCAAACTTCACATTTCGTAACGTTTTTCAACATCGTCCTCGTCTTCGTCGAATTTCCTCGCTTCGGCTATCGAACCGATGATATTTCATCGGTCTCGGAGGTAACGATAATTGGTAATTAACGAGCCAAGGAAACATTGATATCGTTCGACGTTCGTACAACGATACGGCAATCTCCATGTCAATTAAAGGCCAGTGTAGCTTGTCAAAATGCCAACGCACGTCCCCCTTCCCCCCCTCTTCCAACTCCCTCTGGCGTGCGTTTAATATTGATGACAGAATGGCAGGGTGCGTAACACAATCAACCACTAAAAATGTATAGCCTCGGACACAACGGGATAGATATATACCTTGATACGCAATCGTTTCGGAAACGAGAGCCGGCCAATCCTGTTTCACGCTTCCATTCTCGAATTTTTCCCCGAATTTGCCGAAGATTTTCTGAACGCGGGTCAAACGCTGCAGTTGTTCAACAAGATAAGTTCGAAGGTGAGTTTCGGTACAAACTTCGAAAGTTAGTTCGATGATCGACGCGAGCATTCGATGGGAATGTTTCACGACAAATGTTGTTGCCGTAACAGAAAAGACGCGAACGTTGTTAAAAGGAATATGAAAATACGTAGCCGAGGAGTTAATTAAAATTGAAAACATTCTATCATGCCCGTTTAAAGTAGGTACACAGTCGGTGCAAGGACTTTATCCGTTTAGTTTTGCGGCAGGCCATTTGGAAATTGGAAACCTGTCAAAGAGAAATTTCGCAAGCACTCTGCTCTGCTCGGCGCACGTATCGATGCATTCGAA